CTATCTGTCGCAATTCTTCTTCAGGCTGAAAGCATTGATAGAGAGCAGATCGCAGCGACTAAACAGCTCAAGAATAGTCCCAAGTTTAAACGTTTTCTTTAAATCAAGCCATTTCACGATTAGAGACCACAAATATCTTGAGTTGGTGAACAAGCACAGATAAGTCACACATTAACGCTAAGCTGGAAAAGGTGCTTTCACCGGAAATTGGTTCCTCCATACCGCGATAAGAGCGATAAGAGCTATACCGCCTTCTCAATTGAGACATCCCCCACCAACAGCCCAGCAAGCCTGAGTAATTATCTCACAACTCATCACCGGCTTTCGGTGGTATGAAGCCCAGTATCGGCAACTGACAAATACCCAACGGACTATTCGCCGAACCACCAATTTCACCCAACCTAAAACGATCACCACCTTCACGACATTGGATATCTAGACAGGCAATCTGCATGAGAGGAGAACGCCTTGCCTTTCTTTCACACTTTCGGGACGCACTTTGAGCAGGCGCGGGGTTGGCTTTGGAACCACATGAGAAGGAACGACGGAGTATCTCACAACTTCTTACCGCAACGCATTTCCGATTACACCTAGACGACCACAGCTCGACATCTACACCATCTTCGCATTTCCCAGAGTGGAATTCGATAAAGTAACATACATTGGGCAATCGCAACTACCATTAGACGTTTTTGATTTCATCGCAATTCACGACTATCATGGCCGATTTTCGGAAACTCGCACTCGAGTTCGTGCTCAGTGACGATACTGAGAGACAAACAGCAATCACAAAGGAGGCAGCTTCGGGTATGCATATGAAGCCATCCATATCCTTTCACCAACCATGCAAACAACTGACATGAACCCAGAGATCCAGTCAGCACCGAGACCTAGCAATCCAGTTGCAAGATGGGTAGAATCTATCAGACCTTGGATGCCTAGCGCAAATGAAGATCAGGATGACGGCGATGGTGATGTCATTGCACGGTCCAAAGGTATAAGGTCAAATGCTGTGTTGGAATAGAGATGATTACTGACTATTGCCCCTTCTTTAGCTTTGAGTTTTCTGGCAGGGACTCTTGAGCATCTGGATTCTGCATTCCTCAAAGCCGATCAAAGTGAGTAAGGTCGAGGCCTGTGTACTCAAAGGCCCCTTGCTAACACCGCATTTTCAGCCAACCTCCTGGTGGCTTTCTTTGGAAGCATGTTCAAGGTCGACCACAAGGCTGGCATTATGCCCGCTGCCGAGGCTCTGAATCGAACTGCTGGCATGAAGACTTTCCAGCCACAAAAGGGAAACGACATTATCCAGAGTGTGTGCAGCCTTGGTGATGATTTCAAGTCCCAGGTCGCAGAAACCCGTGCAACAGTATATGAACTTCTGGACCATCTTATCACCAACCCGGATGTAGCAAACGACTTGCAGTACCAACACGGCACAACCTCGGGCTTCATCACGGATCTTTTGCAACTATGTCGCAATGAGCGAGACCCTAAGTGTCTGATGACTTGGTTCAAGATTCTGAAAGTCTTTCTTTCAGACTACTCCCCCGCACCGGAAGTCGTGGATGAGATTTTCAGTATCTTTTCAGCTTACTTCCCCATATCGTTGAGGACGTCACAACATCCGTCGGGAATCACTGCGGATGATCTGAAGTTAGCCTTGAGGGCTTGCTTTTCGGCACATCATCGTGTTGCTGACAAGGCCATTCCATACCTCCTTAGCAGGCTAGACCAGCCGGACAGTGTTAGTGTCAACGTCAAGGTTTGTGTCCTTCCTTGGACTATATCAATAATACCTGTGCTGACACTGCTGTAGGTTGACATTCTCAAGACCATGACCGCATGTCTCAGCGGCTATGAACATGTTCAGCAAGGAGTCACCCCCTTTACCAACAAGATTTGGGACAGTCTCAAGTATGAAGTCCGCAATGGGGAGATCGAGGACACCATCAATGCCACCTTGGAAGTCATCCGAACAGTCGCCAAAAGACTTACCGGAGACGAGCTCAGGGATTTTGCCCTGACTGTTCAGAGAGACTGCTTGGAGGACCTGTCAAACCCGATCTACACGGCAGCCTCAGGAAAGCTTCTGATCTCCATCCACAGCGCAAAGCCAGCTGCCTTTGCACTCATGATCTCCCCGTCTGTGACCCATATCAAGGAGAACCTCCGCCATACAAAGTCACCTGACCACACGAAGAATCTCCTGATTTTGCTAAATTCTCTACTCGAGTTACGGTTAGCCCTAATTGGAGGAGACGTGGAGCTGAGTGTCGAGGACGCTGAGGCCTTCAAATCCACCGAGCCGCTACTTGCCCCCATCTACAAGCAGACGTACCTGCCTCTTTTCCAAAAAGCTCTACAAGATACTGCGCAACCCGAAGATATCACCATCGGTCAACAGGCAACCAAAGGCCTGGGGTTGATGGTATGTCAGAGAGCAGCTCAAACCGGACAGTCAAACCAGCCAATGCTCCCGGAAGAAACACTGAATGAAATTTGCGACAACCTAGCAACTCTTGCGCTTCAAGCACCTGGCGAACTAGCGAAGGACAGAAACCAACTCAAGACATCCGACGAGGCTGCCATTGCTTTACAAAAGGCTACGATGGCACACCCGCCGGCGCAACCCGTGCTCATCGACACATGCTTTCGAGTTTGTGACGCGTACAGTGCTTCCCCTTCGGCCAATAACTTGGACAGTATGCGCAATGTTCTCAAGCACAACCTCGCCAGATTGACCTACATCTTTTGCTCCGAATCTCCTCGCTCTGAGAAGCTCAGACTCTACACATACTTCATGCAAGCGCTGCTGGTTAATCTCTACAAGATGCAGGACGCCAAAGCTGACCCGAAGATCTGGTCGGTCATTGCTACTTACATATTCTCGGCCATGATTCAGTTCAAGGAAGGAGCCAAAGAACTCATCTACCTGCCCGTCAAAAACAACTTCAGCGACACGCGATTCGACTACAACTGGGTTAGCTACGTGGCGAACCGTTTCCCTAATCTGCCATGCCTCCCTGACGACCAGATCATCTCAATGCAGGCGATGGACGAGAGCAATGAAGTTGACAATCTTCAAGGCGACTTCGCCTTGATCAATCTGTATGTCACACGGCAGCTCTACAGACGGGCCACCAAGATCATCAGTTATGCCGACAATTCCGAGCTTTCACTTGCCTTGAGCGACGATTTTGGCAAGAAGGATCCGGAGGAAAAGAATGAAGAGGATGCCTACTTGCAACGTCTCTCAGATATTGCGGTATTCACCATCCAGCACATGAGCGAATACCAGCAGACCAACCTGCTTCTGAACGAGGAAGTCGTGACACTCTTCCGTGGAACCGATCAGTATCACCATCCCAATCCTAATGAGACCCACAGCTGGAACAACAGTGAGCTGCGAGCGGCCATGCTGAGGACCATGGGTCTTCCGCAAACTCCTTACAACATGAGAGATCCCCCCCAGTTCCCCATCAGTGGTTTCAGCCACGGCCGTACTGTCATCCTCTCCTTGGGCATTATTCAAGCTTTCCATCCAACTACAGTCGAGCGTTTGGTAAGTCAAGCGTCGGATTAAAGCCATGGAAGCTTTGCTAACACTCTGTTCTAGGTTGAAAGAGGAACCGCACACCAGATCTTGATTGCTGGCCTTCTCACCAGAGACCACTCAGACTCGCCAAAGTGCCGCCATGTCGTCTCGGCCATTCTGTCTGTCATCGCCAACAAATACAAGGTTGAGAATTTGAACGATATCGTCCAAATTATGGAATATCAAATGAACTTCGTTGTCAGCGAAGAGAGACTGTCTGATCAGCTGGAGCAAATCACTGGCTACCTCGACCACGAAGAGAATGTGGTGGCTGGAAACAGCCCCAACGACCTCAGAGCATCGCTGACAAGGCCTGTATACGCGATTGTAGTCGGCATTCTCCGACGCTACACTGGGAACGCTCTTAAGAACGTTCTCACGGCTATCACTCAAGGTCCTGGCAACAAGAAGATTGGCCACACGCTTGCTCGCAACATGGATTTCATCTTCAGTGACCTGGACTTCGCAAAGCCTCAGTTTTACGGTCAGCTTAAGAAGCTCTGGGTACAGAGGGCCTACTACGAGCTGGTCAAGCCCATGCTGCCCAAGGCTTGGCCTGCTGGCTCGAACAGCAAGGATGATATGCTGGTAGCCGCAAACTACAGCATTGCAGTCTTGAGAGCAGTCAGGCACATCACATACGCGCACTACGAGGACGACACGGAGGATCTCATCCGAATCATTCTCTGCGCGATCCGCAACCTGCCGGCTAGCGCAGACGTGGCAGCCGGTCTTCAGATCTTGGTGGCCGTCACGGAGAACTCGCCGAGACGCATGCAGCCCTTCCTCAAGAGCGTCATCGATGCCTCCCTGTCAATCTTTAGGAAAAATACGACGCAAGCCGGCGAAGACAACACCTGGATGCCGGAGAATTACATGCCATTTGACCGCTCCGGATTCCAGGAGGCGCAATGCCGGGCCCTGGTCGTTCGTCTCATTGGACAACTGCCGCCCAACTTTGAGCATCGCCATCTCCTCGACTCGGCGTCGCAGGCCAAGCGCTTGTTGGCTCAGGCCTCTGGTGACGAGTCACGAATGGTCAGGGAGGCTGCTCTCAAGTCTCGTAAGGCTTGGGATGAGGTTAACTGAAGTATGTTGAGTTTCCAGAGATTGAAGTAGTCTCGAAAGAACGAGTTGAACAAAAGGTGATGACTTTGCACTTTTGGCATGGCTCAGTCAAGTTTGAATTGGCTTTGGTCGAGACACGAAAGTGATGGTTTGTTGGTATATGGGGGCGGCGACCCACATGTTGGAACAGAGAGTGGGAGACGAGGTATTTGGTGGACTTGCATGATGGTGAGGGTTGGTGGCATGGCGAGGCGTTTGGAGGTCCAATGGATCATCAGTATTAGACGACCAGCATCCATTTGAATGAGATGAGAATCACACAGGGCATTGCAATGATTTGACTAGAGACACTTGTTTGCTACGCATAAATGCTGTCCAGAGCATAAGCCGGCCAAGGGATGGAACGAATAATGATGATTAGCACCGAGACATAGATGTGCAACTGTAGCACTTTGAAGCAATATACCAAGCAGAAACGCAGACTCCATGCTTTTGACGGTTCCAATTATCCGTAATTTACACAAAAAGTTTATTGGCAAGCCCCATGCGACAGGAAGTCCACATCACCTCCGGTCCGACCCTGACTACGCCTTGCGTCTCTTGCTGCCACCCTTGGCCGCCTCCGCGCCGCTCCCCGTCGCCGTGCTCTCCGCGTACAGCGCGTCGAGGACTTCGGTCGAGTATCCCTGGGAAGCGGACGTGACGCGCTTGGGATCGAGCTTGCCGACGGCGGGGATATTGGTGGCGAGGATCTCCTGGAAGGGGACCGCGACGAAGCGGCCTTGCGAGTCGAACCACTGTTTGAAGGGTTGTGAGAGGTTGATGACTTTCTTTTCGCCGTTCTTCGAGGTTAGGGTGATTTTCATGTTGTATGTCGGTACGTTCTTCTTTGTCGATGTCGCGATGTTGACCTGTTCCCCGGCGCGTGTAAGTCAAATTTGTCCATATCTCAGAAACGCATGCAGCTGTTGGGAGCGCAAGAAGAAAAGTAAAGTGGCCTTACCTTCTCACCTGAGGGTGATGTGCCCTCATACACAGTGCCTGCCTCCTTCAACCAGATCCATAGCGTAAGAGCGCCGTTGAGGATCGAGTAGAGGACCACGGCGGCGGCTGTGTAGTACTTTGTGCTGTCGAAGCCGAGCTTGTAATCCCAGAGGAAACATGCGCCCGCGATCAGAAATGCTGAGTAGCCGAGTGCGAGGCGGACGTCGGTGAGCGCGTGGGATTGGGTGAATTTGAGAGAGTTAAGGTAGTTGGGGAGAGCATCGTCCGAGGTGTTCTTCAGATCTGGGGGAGAGAGCTTGTGTTAGTGTGATGCAATAGCTAGTACGCCTAGCGCAGGGCCAGGGGAGAGTAAAGGAAATTGCATACCGGCCAGATTATGGACCGTAATTTTTTCGGAAGACATTTTATCGACTGCAGTTCTCGGAATCCTTCTTTCGAGTATATTTGACAGCTATGCGTGAGGCGGGCGGGCGTGGAGTTGTGATGGTTTGGCTTGTAACCTCCAGCCTGGCTTTCGGAGCTAGGACAGCTTGGACCCTTGTGCGAAGTCCCGTCCGTGGGCAAAGGTGAAAGTGGAAGGTGGTCTTTCGGAAGCTCGGCGAAACAAGCGCCCGAGGTAGCTCCCACTGACATCCAACTCCACCAGATTACACTGATGCAGGCGGAGCTCTCAACCACCTGGCTGCATCGCAACGACGAGCGCCGTTACCGTCTCTAATTCACCATTGCCCGGCTCTAATCGTCACATACAAGCCAAAATGGCCCAAGTTCCGGTGCAGACGATCCATCGGGATCCCCAGCTCCTGTACGCAAAATTCCGACTTGCCCCATTCCCAGTTGCAACCGCGTATGCTGACTTGACAAACCCGACAGTTACTGGATCCTGTTCCCGATCACGGTGGTCATGGTCTTGACCGGCATCCTGCGACACTACGCCACGGTCCTGCTCGCCACCGCGCCCAAGAAGCTCGACAAGCCCGCGCTCAAGGAACAGCGCAGCCTGATGCACGGCGTCACGGTCCGCACCAACCACCACGTCCTGTCCAAGAAGTCCTTTGAGGCCCGTCGCGACGCACTCGTCGCGGCGTACGAGTCCGGCGCGTACTTGAAGAACCCGGACCAGAAGGGCCAGCCGCCCGCGAATCCGCTTACCGACCCTGGCGCGATGGACGGAATGATGGGCATGATGAAGAACAACATGGCCATGATTATCCCCAACACGCTGATCATGAGCTGGATCAACGCCTTCTTCAGCGGATACGTCATTAGTATGTTGTACATGATCAACATCAACCTTTGTGCGGCTGCTGACTGTCTTAGTGAAACTGCCCTTCCCTATCACCATCAAGTTCAAGAGTATGCTTCAGGCGGGTGTGGCGACGAAGGACATGGATCCCCGCTGGATGTCCAGTATCTCTTGGTACTTCCTCTGTATCTTTGGTCTGCAGTCTGTCTTCGTCTTCATCTTGGGAAGCGACAATGGTAAGCCTGAAACTGTCCAGCTCTGCCCCTTCAGCGTACTGACATCAAGAAGCTGCCAGCCAGATGGCTCAGCAAATGGGACAGATGGGAGGTGCCGCTGGTGCCCCTCAAATGTTTGGACCCGGTGTCGACCCTGACAAGCAGTTCAAGGGCGAGGCTGAGAACATTGCCGTTGTCGACCACTACTCTGTTTTGGACGATGTGGAGTCAAGACTGCTTGCGGGTATCAAGTCATAGAATTGTAGAACAATACACAAAATTCGCGCCCATCCGTACGCCTCGGTGCCCTTCAATGTCTGAGTAACGCTTGTGAGATTCCAGGAGCCATCTGAAGGCTATTCGCCGCCCTGTCCGTCCCACCAGAGGCACACGCCGAGACCCTCCATAGCCATGGTGCCCTTCACCTTGTAAGGCGGCTTTGGCGGAGCAGCCTCTTCGCCCTGGCTTGGTCCTGCGGGCGTCTGATCGTGCCACTCTTCATCGATGACCTGGAACCTGACCATTTCGTGATTATCGTAGAAGAGTCTGTCGTCCTCAATGTTCCAGATCCAAAGCTGTTCTGAGTGGTTACTATAGTCGTGTTAGTGACGCATCAAGGTCGCAAGATAGGTCTGGCTTCACGTACAATTCGGCACCCTCGGGAAGCTCATCAAAGGGGATGAAGATATCATCAAAGAAGTCGGTTCTCAGGTTGATGCCGGCCGGCGTCGAACTCCTGATTCTTCCAATCATGACTTCGCCCTTGAAGGGTCTGAAGACGATGAGTCTGAATTCCACTGTCGCAATCGTTAGTCAGAGACCCTCAAGAAAAAAAGTCTGATGGACCTGAGTTCATACCATTGACGTTGACGAGGCCTGTGCCATGACCGATGAGGCCCTCAGAGGTCCATAACAGATCGTACAAGCAGATGCAAAGTCCAATCTTCTGTATGACCTTGTTGGCGTACTTTGCATTGATGTTGTCCTCAATGGCGGCTTTGCTCTTCTTGCGGAAGTCTTCTGGTGCGATTTCGACCAGATCCGCAATCTTGGTCTTGATTGGGTCCTTTGTGTTAGTGACACACTCAGGTAAAATTTGTGAGTTTTCGAGTCTTACTAGGATGAACATGTTGATCGCTCTGTCTTCGAGACGGCGGATTATGAGCCAGAAGAATCCCGGGTAAAGATACTACTGATCTCGTATCATCGTCCGTCCCCTCAACGCCTCTGAAAGGTCGTGTTTGGGTCTTTTGAATCGCGGTTCAAGGAAATTCAGTGAGATCGCAAAATCGGCAAAATCGCGGGGCGCTTTGGTCTTGGGAAGCAGATTGACTCTTACCGCCCTCTACGTTGAGTTTAGCCTTAGCGGTTGCAGGCGCATGTGTACCCCTGTGGCCCACCACGCTTTAGTAGCTCGAGGTCTGTCCAGGCGGCGGGCCTCTGTCGCAACCCGCTGGAACTGTTATTGCGGGACCCGAAATGATTGCAGGGCGACTCCGAAAGCTCAAGTCCTAGGGGCTCCACGCACTTGCCTCACCTTCGCGTCAGGTCAGGGAAACTGCGTCCAGCCGTTTCTTCCATCCTCGAGCCTTTCGCTTCCCTTCCTTCATCTTCTCAATCATTACAGGTCGGCCGCCTTTCTTCTTTTCTTCAACTGGCGCTCACTGCATAGAACACATTACTTTTGAAGGGCAATACTGCTTTTTGCTACGTTGATCGAATTTTAACCACTCCTGCTACCCTTTCAAACAAAGATCGGTCCACAAAGCGTCAAGGACGTTGCCCTCGAACGCTGCGTTTCCTTCCCTTAGCCCAGAACCCCAAACGTTCTTTCACAAATCGACTGCGAAGAAAGGAAAAACGCGTCGTCGTCCTCGAGCCAACATGTCGGGCTACAGCTACGGTCCCCCACCACCTCCGCCTCCGGCTGCCCAGGCTAGCCATCCTGGATATGGGCACCACGGCGGCGCTTATCAACAGCACTCGCGAGGCGGAGGTGCTCATGCTGCCCGTGGCGGGCGTGCTGGTTACCCAACAAATGGTCGCCCAGAGTACCCTCCAGCCCATCAGCCTCAGTACGAATATCCCCGTCAGCAGCCATATCCTCAACATAGCCCAGGATATCCCGCCCAGCAGCAACAACCTGCTGGCAACAACTATCCACCTCAACAGCAGTGGCATCAAGACCACGCACATGGCGCCGCCCAGCATGGCGCTCACGCTCCTACACCTCTGTCGACTTCCAACTACCATCCAAACTACGCTCCCCAGGTATACGCTCATCCTCAACACCCACAACACCCTCAGCCGCCACCTCACCAGCCAGCCTACGGTCCACAGCAGCCGCAACAACCACAGCAGCAACCCTACGGCCAGCCGTATCCCGCTCCTGCACCATATACCGCTGGCCAGCCTTGGGCTGGACACGACCCTCATGCCCAAGGTCCCTACGGCGCTGGTCGCGGCCGCGGCGGCTACGGAAACGATCGAGGCGGCTCCCGAGGTCCTAACATGGCCACGCCTGCACCAGTAGCCTACGGTGGTGATGGAGTTCACCATCAAGCGAATAATGGATATGGTCAGCCGTATGCCGATCCGCGCGCACAATCCGTCCAATACCAAGCTCCACCTCAATATCCGTACCATGCCCCTCCTCCGGCACCTCAAGCAGCGATTCCTCCACAGGAGCCGTACTACAAACATGATGGACAGGCCGGTCGAGGTCGTGGTGGTCACCGTGGCGGCAACCCACGTGGCCGTGGTTCGTTCCATGGCAACGACAGGGGTCGTCATCGCCAACAGGGCAACAACAACCACAATCACAATCATAACAACCGACAAGACGGAGGATTCCACCACAAGCATGACAAGCACGACAATGCTGCCTCGGGTAAGAAGAAGAAGCGTAAGACTAACACCCTTGGTCTTACACCTGGCCAAGACTCGGAGTCGGAAGACGATGAGATGGAAGAGGAGACGCTTCGCAAGTTAATTGGAGCAGATGCACTGCAGTAAGTCAGATGGCGATGTCAGACTTTGCTCTATCTAACCGTCTCATAGGGTGACTGATGTCGCTTCATACATTGCCGAGCGGAAGAAGCGCTTCCCCACCGCTGCGCGTGTCAAGGCTAAGAAGTCTGTCGAGACCACGCAAGGAAGTGGCAATAAGATCCATTCTAGCCTGGAGAAGGAGGAGAACCTCGCCAGCAAGCTCAGAAGACAACTGGAAAAGGTTGAATCGTCTATCAAGCGCAAGCGTGAACAGCAAGACGAAGGCGATGAGATGAGAGACAGCCCCTCCATTGACATCAAGTCTGAAGACGATGAGCCAGAAGTCGCGTCAAGTCGTGTTCAGCCGGCCCCCCCTCCACCCCCTCCTGCAAAAAAAGCAGATATCTCAAAGCATTGCAAGTACTACTCTACGGGAGGTACTTGCGGCAAGAAGGGCAAGTGCCGCTTCGTACATGATCCTGCTGTTAGGGAGGCAGCCATGAAGGAGAGAGAGATGAACAATGGCCATCTCACCATCCAGCAGCGCTTGATCTTGAACGACAAGGACCAAGAGGACCTTACTGTTCTTCAATCAATTCAATATCTGCGGGAGAAAGGCTTGATGAAGCCTGAAGATCAGCCCAACGGTACCAGCGGGCACAATGGGTCCCAGACCTCCCAATCTCAGTCCCGCCAGCACCCCAGCAGTCTCCCTGCTGCACCTGCTTCTCTCCCAGCGCCGCCTATGAAGCATCACGGGCTTCCTCCCCACAAACCGCCTCCTTCTGCAGGTGGATCTACGGTTCGATACAAAGGCTGGAACTTGAGTGGATATGGGAACTCAGGTCTCAAGTCGGAAGATCTCCCATAGATGGCTACCATCAACGGCCAAACCCGGAGTTTCATTCACAGCCTCCAACTTTGCACTGCTTCCTCTTGAAGGGTGCTCCGGTTCGTTTTTGAGTGGTCTGCCTGAGTACGGCGACCTCGAATCATGTAACAGGTCTCTCGCTAAGGCGGAGAAGTCGTCCTGATGCAGCGATTCTCACTAGCAGCGATGTTTGCGTTTCATATCTGATCGAATTTTAAGCCACATGAAAGAAGTCGGGTATGGAAAGAGCATGGTTAGGATTACATCACCAATTTTATGCCAGCCCCTGTTTCCTTGACTTTCACCACACAGACGACTTCGGCTTTGACATCTCGGTTTCTTTGGTTGCGTCGGTTACCCCCAGGGCTTCATCTGCAAAGTTGCGATCCCAGATCGCGTGTAAGATCGTTAATTTCTCAAATGGGGACGAGAACGCAGACAGGACGGCGTGGCGCAGCTTCTATTTACCAGTCTTATGAGTTTAGAACTGTCGGAGTTTCCGGCTTGAGGAAGGGGCTGAGTAGCTCCGTGAAATGGCTTTGAGTTGTTCGCTACGGAACTTTCAGAGGAGTTTAGGACTGACTACAGCCCCGGTTCGGCTGTATCTGATACCTCAAGGAGGGCTTTGCATCGGGCTTATAGAACGGGAAAACTCCAACAGGTTCCTATTTTGGTGTCTTGGTGCAAATTGAATTTAGTCAAAAAGAATAAATCTTACGTCTTGGAAACCTCGGTTGGTGGTGATTCCATGAAAATATTACGTGATTGTGTCCTGAAAGCTCTTGTTTATGGACTTGCGAAGCCTCGCTTCTCCTGGGTTACAAAACGGAATTTGGCAGCCATGTTGAGGCAAAGATTTCAAGTTTGGCCAGTCAACAAATACAGACATAATGTCATTAGGCTAGTACTCGATGGTGGCCGAGGTATCATTGAGCCGTGGCACGTATCTACCTGTTCCCTATGTGATGATTTACGAAGTAAAGCCAAAAGAAACTGGCTGTGGAGTGTAGTAATATCCCATAATGATAATGACAAAACAAACTTGAAGTTTAAAATGAACGCCTTCGCTAATGTGATGCTGAGCCGCGCCTGTACCGGTGCAAATACCTCAGAAGTGCCAGATCCAAACCCCCTGTTGGTAAAAGATGATGGGAGAAATGGGGGTGGTGATGGTGACGGAAAGAAAAACCTAGCGTCGTCGCTGCTCTTCGTAGAATCTACGCTTGCGCTCCTCCTTTTCGGCCTTGAGACGCTTCTCGAGCCGCTCCTGTTCGATATCCTCACGGCGGGCCGCACGCTCAGCCGCCGCTTCCTCATCCCACACGTCATCCATGCCAGCCTCCATGTCTGAAGACCCGTCAGAGTCGTAGTGGTACCGGGGACCGCGATCGTCCTCCTCGTCTTCGTCGTACTCGATAAAGTCGTCGAATTCCTCCTCCTCTTCCTCGTCGTAACGTGAACGTTTCGCGGAGCCGCCGTACCGCGGGGCGGGGCGGGAGTTGAGGAGGGCGCCTCCTGGTGCCGGCTTTTTCTTTGCCGAGGTAGCTCCGGGTTTCGGACGGGCGGTGCCCGTATATCCTGTAGTGGCGACGGCGGCTTTCTTGAGCTTCTTCTGCTGCTCTTCCTCGGCAGCAGCTGCGCGTGCCTTTACGCCGGCCCTGGGGTCTCTCGCTCTGTCGGCGGTTCCGTTGCGGCTGGCGCTTGATCCGATTGCACTGACCCCGTTACGCGAAGGCGGAGCCGAAGACGGTCTTGAGGTACCCTGGAATTTCGACGCTGGCCTCGCTGCGCCCTTGCTGTCCTTCTTATAATCCTTCTTCATCTCCTCCCGCTCTTTCTTGGTAAACACCTTTTCCACCGGCTTGTGCTGGATCTTGCCGACTTGGCCTAGCTTGGTCTGAGCCTGTTGAGCACGCGCCATAATCTCGGCAAAGGATCCCTTCTTTGGCGGTGCACCTTTCGGTGCCGCGACAGGAGCTGACGGAGAAGGTCGACTAGGCAGTGTCGATGTCACCCTAGATGTGCCCGAGCCATTCACCGGCCTGGCACCGGCAGAGCTGGACTTTGCGGATGTCGTGCCATTTCCGACAGGCCTAGGCGCAGACGTGGATCGATCGGATGGTCGTCCGGCGCTGCCTCGATAGCCAGTGGTTGTTGCCGAAGACTTCTCCGCAGGCCGTGCGGGTCTCTGAGCATCTGCAGATCTGGGGGGTGCAGACGAGCTGGCACCGTTTGTACTTGTTCGCGGAAGCTTGTTCGAGACGGTGCTGCGGAGGTCGTCGTCGGCTTTCCGTTTCGAGGGCGGAAGGGGTGGCCTCGATGGAGCTGGTGATGTGCTCTGTGACTTATCGCCACTTATTTGGGCGAGGAGATCTCCAATCTGTGAACCACCCATCGTCAGCCCTGCCACGGTAGTCGCTAAAACGTGTTGTCGCATCTCCAGAGCACTTACAGGCATGGCGACGGACTGCTAAAGCCAAATGTCGTCAAGCAAGTGTCT